TTCTTACCCTGAATTAACACTTGCTGCTAGAACTTGAAACTGAATGTGATTCAACTCCGTTTAGTTTGTTTAATTGAACCCTAGTTTGCCATACAAGAAAAACACTCTGCTTTTGAGAATCGGGCATTCTTACACTCTACTGTGTTTCCTATAGGGCCAGTACAGTGAGTTAGTTCAGAACAAAACAACTGTGCTTCCTACACAAAGGGGCATATCTAGTTCAACTCAGTATTGGAAAATAAGTAAAACAGGAGCTTCTCTTCAGTCCAATACACTGTAATTGCTGTGTACAGACACGAGTGCTATTTGCATGGGTATGGCCAGATTGGCCTAAGAGTGGTGTTCTTACCCTGAATTAACACTTGCTGCTAGAACTTGAAACTGAATGTGATTCAACTCTGTTTGGTAAGTTTAATTGAACCCTAGCTTGTCATACGAGAAAAACACTCCGCTTTTGAGTAACGGGCATTCTTGTACTCTACTGTGTTTTCTATAGGGCCAGTACTTCAGCTAGCTCAGAACAAAAGAACTGTGCTTCCTACACAAAGGGGCATATCTAGTTCAACTCAGTATTGAAAACTAAGTAAAATAGGAGCTTCTTGAGACACTAAAGCCACCGCCAAGACAAGCAGCATATGAAGAAAACGGTAAGCCACCAGCGTCGTGGCAAGTTATAGATTTATAAAGATGGGTTAATTTAAGATATAAAAACAGTTAGCAAGAAGCCTGAAACCGCCATACAGTTTATAAGTCATATAAGCGTCTGAGTGATTATTTTATAAGTGGATTGTGGGTCTGCGGGGCTTGGGGAACCTGGAGAGAACCCCCCAGCAACAAATGGCACCCAACGGCTCGTGTTTCCACCTTAAACCTGAGAATATTTAATAAACAATTCTAAACAGAACCAAAATCAGGTTCCTGCTTCTTGTCTCATATGGGCAGCTAGACGCCACAAAACGCAGGTTTGAACACTGGCGGGTTCCTGGCGTGTGCATTTGACCGGCAGTATGGCGGGGATGAGGCGTCTGCCAGCGGCACATTATGCTGTGTGGTAGATTTAGTCTTTACTAGTATTAAAAAAAAGAGAGAGAGAGACAGAGAGAGGTTTCTGGGCTACACACTGCTTTGATAAAAGCGTAGGCCTACTATTTCTGAGACTTGATGATTCCAGAACTGGCGGAAAACGCCATGTTGGTATGCTGAAATCTGCGGAGCCAGCAGCCACACTGGCGTTTCAGTCTTAAAATGGTGCTATTTAAACCAATAAGCTCAAGGTAATAGAAAAAATAAGCCACGTAAAGATGGCTACCACACAGAAAATCTGGATTATGTTCTCTTTGATATTCGTAACTGAAGAAAAACATTTGATTACAAAAGCTGTTGAGTTATGCCAAAATGTATATTTTAAAGGTACCTTCACTTCAAAATTTGGATATAAGGATATGT